CCTAACATGGATAATAGTAAGAATCAACAATTTTTTTTTTTTAATAAACCTTTAAATGTTTCTACTTTAAGTTTGCTAATATCGATATTACAACTATGTATAAGTATGTATTATGCATTTACGTGTGAATATATAACTATATAACTGTACAAACGGAACTCTTATCTCGTTCCCCACTTATATAACAGTAAGTGATCAGTATATCACAATCATTAACCAATAATTATTTGATTAATGATATGTGAAACATATCGTCAGCATTATGGGAATATCTTATCAAACGTGAAATAAACTTTCTAAAAAGTAACAATTATATATTAAATAAAAAATAATAATAAATTTTTTCTTAATTCCGAATAAGAAAGTTAACAGAAACATTTATTATTCCAATATCTTTTAAAATGGTTGATTTGAGTACACATAATATTAATAAATTTAATTTTTTATAATTTAGCAGACGAAGAAACTAAATGATTTTTGTTATTAATTTCTATGAATATTGGACCCTTTAATGTTTTGCATGGCTCTAGTAACTCATCATATAACAAAAAAAACGTTGTTCTAATTTATTAATATTTTAAATATCTTCATTTTTATAATAGTTAATCAATTTTTGCCTTTTTATTATTACAAATACATGGTATATTTGATCAAAAAGTATTTCATTCGAATATTATGTAACAAAAAGTAAGAGATAAAGAAATATAATTTGATCTAGAGATTGCACACGATACTGACGATATAATCACTTTAATTCAGTTTTTCATAAAGATTGGCAGTTATAGCCTGGACGTATTACTGTCCAAAACAGAGCAAAAATGGTAAGACATTTTATGAATCTTATCTGCACCAGTATCCTGTTATATCCAATTATCCTTTCATAAATTGAGTTCACAGGACTGACAATAAAAAACAGATTAAGGTAGTCTAGTTCTATATTAGCCTTTTCATGTACTATGCAAAGAACTCTTGAAAAGTTTTTGTTCACAGACCAACCAATACTTTTCCAGAGAATCTTATAGTAATATGAAAAGGTACAATGCATTATTATACTATGGCATTAAAATATATTAAGCAAATTTTCGATAAATTTTTGTTCAGTACAGCAACACACTGTTCGATTTCTTTTATATCATCGTTTATCATTCGATATATTTGTATATAAAATTCATTCGAGACTTGAAAATATTATTGCAAGGCATGTTTATGAAGGATCGAAATATGTAACGATAAGTAGCACACAGCAAGCGCAAATTAGCATCATTAATTAATACAAAAGTATTTTACATTTAGCCTGATGGTAAATAGGATTCAATTTTAATAAATTCAAAAATTCATAACGATATATGTGTTGCCACAGATCATATTACGTTTAAAGTATATCTAACACGTAAATCACTTGGTGACATGCTCTATTTTTGTTTCCTGTCAGCTTTCTTGATTTATCACAGCTGGGGCAAGAGTGTCAAGAAAGAAACCTTGTCTTGCACGCCCGAAAAACAAAATTGGTTCAGATTTCTATTCCACGTAGTCCCACCAATCTTTTTCATAACCTTCATGTACATGTTCCAAAAGCACTTTTCTTCGACTATCGCAATATCTTGAAATAAAAACAACACATATGTGTACTCTCTATATATACATATACGTACATATATATAAATATATATACACACATCTATATAATTTTTTCTATTTAATTCTTGAGCTGATAATATTATATTAATAATACGTACAGAAAAAGAAAGAATATATTTACTAATTAACGACTTACCTATATTTATCTTGAACCTTCTGTTTAATATCAGCAAGATTTTCGCTTGTAATATCTCGTTCTAAATATTCAGAGAGACGTTCTGTAGTACCCTCTAGATCCTTTTGGTTGTCTTCAAAAATCACAGATTGGTTATTTTTTCGTACATAATAAGCAAAAACGTAAGTATACATAAGAGTCTGTCTACAGGAACACAGAATGTCTACTGCTTTCTTTAAAAATTGTACCTGAAAATAGCTTTTTTATAAGTACTGCTTTATATACAAGCATAAAGGATTTTACCTCAATCCATGACATGTTATGTTGTTGCATTTCTTCCATTTTTTCTTTCACACTTGCATAAAGTTTACTTTCGAATTTTAATGATTGCATATGATTTATATATCTATTGCAATAAAATAGGTATCTCTGCAATGCAGATCGCGATTTTTCTTGAGCATCTCTTGCTGCTTTAGCCTCTTCTTCATCATAGCGATTACAATTATACCAGCTAGAACCATGTGGTTCCCATGGGCCAAGACATACCCAACAAAAATCAGTTTTACAATTTTGATTTTTGCACACCATATGGTTGCATCCACCATCTTTTTCAATTGTGACATTACATTTTGGACATTCTTTTGTGTTAGCAGCAATCCAATTTGATGTTTCTGAATCATCATCACACTTTTTAATCCATTTGCGCAGTAAATGACATTTTACAGGATCATGCCAATTTTCACCACAATGGAAACAGAATGTATGTCCGCATTTACAAGTTACAGGTCTTGCTTCTACATACTGTACTTTTATAGCGTTATTACAATCTGGTGATGGGCACCACCTCAATAACCTATTACACTATAAGCCAAAGTTATAAATAATATAGTGACACAATTTTTAATGACAATAAAATAAAAATATAGAAAGTGATATTTACTTCAACAAAACTATTTGTTATTAAATGTTGATATTTCAGTTTCACTTTAGAGTCTTTTACAAGACGCATAACACTGGCATCATCAACTAAAATGTCACAAGCATGTGCTGCACACGCAATTGTTTGACCCACTCCTTCTTCCATAATTTTGGTTGTAAGATATTCTCCCCAACAACCAGTGCAAAAGCGATGTCCACATTCAAGTCCAGTCATCAACTAAAGTTTTGTTAAACATGTTAAGTAATTTAAAAAAATATTTAATATAGATGCATATATTAATTTCAGTTTCAATTCAGATCATAAATATTTCACATTGTATTTCTATGTATATACGTACTGCAGATAGTTGAACTGTAAAACAAATCCCACATTCTTCAGTGCCATTTGTTGAAGTTCTTCTAGACTAAAAATTTTAAATATATCGTGTACAATTTTACATATATTGTTATTCATAATAGTTAATACAAAATCTTATTTACAAGCAAACTTTGAGAAGACTGATTTTTATTTATTAATGGACCCTTCCTAAATGGATTAACAACTCGTGCTTCTGCAAATAACTTCTCCTGATCACCATCATAAAATCGTTCCATTAATTTTTCTTTATCCCATTTAAAATGATTTAATAAAATACGCGTAGTTGTAGTTGGTATCTGTAATTAAATAATAACATATTACAATTATAATAACAACCTTCTTTTTCTTTTTCATGTAAAGAAAATTATATATGTATGAATTACATTTTAATTATTAGATTTTACAAAACAAGTTTATCAACATACTTCTACAACTGTGTTGACTTCCTTAATAGAATCAACCATATGTTGCACTATTTCTTCTGTTGATAAAACTTCAAAAGGATAATCATCAACATCTGTTGCTCGTTCTCTTGGATTTCCAACTTCAATTTCCATTGCGAAATCCACATCATCTCCGCTAGATTCATTACCAGAATCAACATCGTCGTATGTTTCTTCTTCAGAATCCATTGTGAATCTTTTGATTTATTAAGTAATCAAAACACCAATGTATTTGTTTACTTTATATATTTTGCACCTGTACAAAAAAAAAACAATCAAAAAATATAAATATTTTATCCAATATTTGGAACGTTAATTCAAACTTTTTTTTATGTTCACTTCGACTTATTTGATCCACATTATAAACATACATTGAGAACAAGGAAACCAATAAACGGAGTATATATCATAATTAAGTAAAAACAGTACACTAACACATTTTTATTTCGATTTGTACTTTATAAGTACTCGAGAAATTATGAAAAACTAACAATACCAACACGATAGTATTTGCTGTTTTACTGCTAGACTCGATAAATTTCGACACAACTTCAATACGAGAAAGAATCGTATCACACCTGCACCCGCGAAATACTGTTGTAGCGGAACAAGGTGAAAACAGCTTATGTTCAGCACATGACGTCATCGTTCGCTACTTCCCGAATAAAGCAAGAAACTTTATCGTACGTTTCTCTTTACTTACTGTCAATAGTATTTCACAAAATTTACAATCACAATACTAAGCGTTTCCCAAAATAATACGAATAGTTAAAGCTTTAAAATATTTTTACCATCGATATAAGCACGAATAAAATCAGCTGCCAAAACATCCGAGTTGAACTCCGGCAGCTGACATACCAAATGCTATTTTCACGGAGAAACGATGAATGAGCTCCCGTGTTGTTAGCCAATCAGAATACTTCTACATACATATCCAATGGCAGCCTGTGTTTATCGAATTGATATTTTATATTATTCTTTAGTTTCTGTTAATCCTTCGTTTCAGAAGCCATTACTTTTATGCGAACTTTTATATTTTATATTATAATTAATTAATTAAAATAAGTATTAACATAAAGATGAATAATTATATGATGATAGAAGCAAATTGTTTATCGTAAATGTTTGTTAAACCACAATTCTATTATGACACAAAATTCATGTACCAAATTAAAAAAAAAAAAAGAAAAAATACACTATATCTTAAGTATTAAAAACTCAAATCTTACTAATTGTAACGATTTTTTACTGCAAAAGCACTTGAGAAATACTGTTGTCTAATCGTTTTGGACAATTAATAATGTTTAAGAATATGTATGTAAATAATTATATTGATAAATAGAATGATAAGTACAAAATACATTGTATAGTTTTGTTAAGAATAGAGTATTTAATTTTTGATAACTTATAATGAATTTAGAAAAATGTGAAATTACTATAGATTCGATTACGGCTATTACGTATGATATCCTGTACTTAAACGAATATAACCGAGTCACTAGAATTTTTTTAAGCATACAAAAAAGCTAAACTACAGAAAGTCTATTGTAATATTAATTCAATTTTGTTTAACGTAAGAAGACTAGCAACATGATATTAAACTTCGATCAACAATTTTAATGAACACGAAACACCAAATACACTTTACGCGATTACCAAATATTTATCGATATTGAAACACATCACAGATTTAGAAAATGTATTACCATGCACAATAATCTCTTTAGCCATTGCACTCGACAAGTCACCAAATCAGTAGGTTAATCAGGTAAAACCATAAATTAATCTACAATGCACTGCTTGCCATGAAAGAAGAGACGAGCTTATAGTTCGAACACTGCTGCCACGTCCGTAGTAGTACGTGCGACGACTTTTTCTTCTACAATCGAGTCAAATACGTTGTTATTTTTTTGTGTGTTCGTTGTTGAAACTTAAGGTTAGTTGATTAATAGACAAGAATAAACACAAAATTTCACGTTATACTGTCCGAGGAATTGAAAATGTAAGAAGGACGCAACACAAAATGTCTCGTCACCAAGTGCCGTTTTACTGACTTTAGTCAACTACGTGAAGTAAGCTCCTTATGCGACGCACAGCTGACACACATGGGCGTCTCTATATTTTAAATTTTGACTACATTATTTAAAAATATTAATTTTTTTAACAAATTATAATAAATTTCAATTAATATATATATATATACACACACACATGTGATTGCAATTTTTGTAATCATTTTAAAATAATCATACTATTTTAAATAAGTTGCAAATATACGTTTTACTTTTTAATACGTAGTCCAATTTATCTATTTATTGAACATAAGAAAATACGTAATTGATCTTTATCGGTGAAAAAAAGAGAAATGACTTGTACGTAAAAATTCATGTATGTTTGATTTCTAAATATTCAAAATATACTTATCATGTAAGAATATAAAAATTAATAAAAAGCTACTTAAAAATTCTATTCATTTTCCAGATTAAATATACATGAAGCTTACAAAAATACATATGGGGTGTTAAAATGTAAAGGTTCGTTTGAAATTTTCAAGTTAGTACGCCAATGTTCGCATGAACGATAAGTAGAGAAGCTCAGAGTGTTCTGTCAAGTAAAGTTAACCCTACCGTGTTGTAATATTGGGGACGAATGTCGAAGTGAATTATACAATTAGAAGTAAAATGAATTTACCCAGCGTAAATGATTACTCTTTGTTAGAAAAAATCGGCTCAGGAAGTTATGCCATTGTCTACAAAGCATTCAAGAAGGTACGTGGAATTTAAGGTTTGGTGCAACGTACACAAATCATATGATGACAGTGTCGTAGCTAGATTCACAGGCGCCACAATTTTCACACGTGATTCAGTATAATGTGTAAAACTCGTATTTTTTATTTTTCCATAATATGTTATTTAATTTTTAAAATATTTTAATTAAGAGAAATTATATTAATTGTTTATATCGTTGAAACATACGTTTTAAAGTTAAATAATCGTTAACTTTGCATGATATATTTATATTTTGAGTGATTTTAATGTACAACAGTGATATTTATCCAGTTGTGCATACGTGTTTGTGCCTAGTTTTGTTAGAAATTTATAAAAATTTTTATACCGATGAATGATTGACAATTTTTTTTATTAGTCCTTGATATCGATTATACGTATATATATTAGAATTCTTCATAGATTTGAATTAATTTGAATTTCATGAAAGATCAATGAACCTGTCACGAGCAATGATTAACGTGAATTTTATGTGCACTGCATACGATATAATTAAAACCACATCATAAAAAAGACCACCGAGATAATTACATAGTTCTGGTAGAGGGTAATGTTAGACCCTTTCGGTACGTTTTCATTTTTAAGTTTCCGAAGCTTTCTCAACGCTTTTAAACGCTAAATGTAGCTAAATAAATTTTACGATATCGTATTTGGAACGCTGTATCATTTTGTTTATTTAATCACAAGGAATTTTCATTTTTCATAAGCAGCTCATTGCATGCAAAATATAAATTGCCGCTATATTGTAGACACGAAGTAACACCGATTTAATCAATTAGGCTAAAATTATATATTGTGAAACTATTAAACGAAATCGACAAATAAGTAAACATACTTTTACTATAATTACTATATCAATTTTAAATGATTAGATCTAATTTTAAGTCTGTCCGCGAAGTTACAAGATTAAAACAAAATTAATTTTCCCTATTTTTAATTGCACTTCGATCGTTTTTGTATTAAAAAAAAAAAGAAGAAAAAATCATAGGAAAAGATACCTAAGACACATGAAAGATAATTTAACACACATTTCTGTTATCGACACTCGATGGATTACATATTTTTTACAATACTGACATTTAGTAAATCTTACGTGATATAAAAATATGCCGAATAAACAGAAGTATTTACATTTATTATTGTAAATAATTTTTTGCACTATTTTTGCACTTTTCGTCGATATATCCGTATAGTAACGAAACCAAAAATAGGAATAAAGAATGCAATAAACGAGAACGGTTATATTCCCTGTGTGTTTTATTAATTTAATCCTTTCATAGTCTGGACAAAAATTATTATCTATACCACTGGCCACTGTAAATAATCGGAAATATAACGTATTCCTATGGCCGATCGAAGCTTACGCAAATGCACTAACCTTTGTACCACTTTTTTCCTCCCGTTGACACGCAGCGAGGAAATGTCTTTCATGTAGCGGATTATCAATTCAAGTGCAACTTGTTTTAATATATTTCAATGACTGAACATCAAACTGTGTCAAATGTTAGCGTAGCGTTGAGAGGTGGCCAGAAAAAGATGGTCGCGTTGTTACTTGGAAGAAGTGTTATCTCAAGGCGAGCCTAACGCTATGCTATTGTTGGTCGTTTGTAGGATGGATGCCGAGAGGTAGTCGCAATCAAGTGTGTAGACAAATCGTCGCTCTCCAAATCAGCTATCGATAATATTGTCACAGAGATCTATCTCCTAAAGATTCTACGGCATGAAAATATTGTGGAAATGAAGGACTTTTTTTGGGATGAAGGGTTAGTTAATTATCGAGGATATAGCGTGAAAAAGATTATGCATGCAAAAAATATCACGTGCATGATACGAAGGATACGGGATACCTTTGTTCGTGGTTATATTTGAAACGGAGGATAGTAGCGGATAATAATGCAACGACTCATTAATTTTCTCCTTTATCAACTTTCTATTGATATTTTTGTTTCTTCGTTTAATAAAATTTGGACCTTTTGTTAACAAGAAGATTCTTATCGAAGTTTGGTATAATGCCTTGGGGCATATTATATTTGTTGTACATATTTATAAGCACCACAAACACTAACACGTGAGTTGCTGATTCTTGTATTGAATTTATTTGATTTTGGTGAAATGCTGAAAATAATAAATTTAATTTCGTTATATTTTACGCTTAAATATCACTTTTGTTAAATATTTTCCAATATTTCCATAATATTGCCAGAGTAGCTAATTGTTTATCTACGCATTCTTTCAATTAATTGTTCTTAAAATTTATATTTTAGATGACCAAATAGCTCTTTTTATAATTATTTCATAATTACATAAATTCGTAAATTATTTGAAATCGTTGTCCAAAGTAATTAGAGGATTGTGACTGCCTGCATAATTGATAAAGACAAAAGACATTTCATCTTGTTTCACCTTATCTCGAATAAATTGATGTTTACTTGATAAAAGAAAAAATAAATTATAATCTTGTATTTATAGAAAGCATTAATTTTACTTTCAATTAAACAAATTCTACAAGTAAATGTAATGTCAGTCGTATTATTTTTTAATCTTTTTCCTACGAAAGACTACATTTTATATTTCATTCAACTTATATTATTCGTGTAATTAAATTTATAATTAGATTCGTGATTAAATTTATATTATTTCTGCAATTAAATTTATAATTGAATTTATATTACTCGTATAATTAAATGTATAATTAAGTTTACATAAAATTATTATAATATTTTAATTATTATTGTATCACTATAAATTAAATTTTAATATCAAATTTATTAGAGGGTAGTATTATCCTCTAATTATTTTAAACAACGTCCATAAATGTATCTATCGTATGACTAAATGCAGGCACATATACATCGTGATGGAATACTGTGATGGCGGTGATTTATCCAGTTTTATAAGGAGGAAGCACAAACTACCTGAACAAATTTGCCGTCGATTTTTGCAACAGCTCGCATTTGCTTTAAAATATTTGCGCAATAACAATGTCTTTCACATGGACTTGAAACCGCAGAACTTATTGCTAACGAGAAGGCCTCAATTAACATTAAAAGTTGGAGGTTCGTTGTCTGTTTGGGACTTATTTTTCTTTTAATTTCCTTTGTTATTCGCATTTTATTATTCACACGATGAATTCCATGACCTCTCTTACATTTATTTTAGATTTCGGTTTCGCTCAGTATCTTTCAAACTCAGAGCAAAAATTTGCCATTCGTGGGTCTCCGCTTTACATGGCGCCAGAAATTTTATTGAAACGCAAGTACGACGCTCGCGTCGATTTGTGGAGCGTTGGTGTGATTATGTATGAATGCCTTTTCGGTAAAGCTCCATATTCTAGCAGTAGCTTTCAGGAACTAGCTGAAAAGATCAAGGACAGCCGACCTATAGAGGTGATTACATCGTTAATCTGTTTTATATAATGAACTACCTACCAAATAATTAAGATGCACTGCTTTGTTTCTGTACCAGTTCTTTTACCTTGTCAAAAGTTCTCTATTATTTACGTTATATCACTTTTGATTTGCGAATAAATAATATATTTTATTTCGAACTGCTCCCTCGCATGCTTAGCTATATACTTCACACGCAAAAAATTCCAGGACCTGCCAAATTTTTTTTGAATAATATAAGGAAGAAATATTGATGGATATGACAAAATGAGTAGTTTAATCGTATATAGTATGGAAGAAAGTTCAGAACATTGTTATAGTATTGTATTCCAAGTCCAATGGTCGTATATTAATCTTTGGACATTTGTTACTTTGAAGGTATTGCGAATTTTCTTGATATTGTATAATATTTTGCTTTTTCGTTAGAATTCCATATTAATGGATTTCTAAAAAGAGTCTATAATATATGCAACTACGGAAAACATTGATAGAACGACCGGACAGAACGACTATCTTTATGGCAATATAAATAAAAGGCAAAATTATAGTTAATTTCGTTGGGAAAAACCCTATCATCTGTAGAGGAAACCTTGAAAATTCTTAGTTATTCACTAATTTTATTTCTATAGACACCTTTGGCCAATAAAGACGACGTATACAAGATTTCAGGTAGACAACTGTTACAACCAGTTAGTGGTGACATTTTAAAAGAACAATGCAGGTCATTTTATCGGTACTCTTTTCTTTGATAATACCGATACAGTTAGCAGGGAAAGAAGTCTAATACATATCCAAAGAAAATGTTAGTTTGAAAAGAAATATTCAAAATTATTTGTGCTCGAGAAATTTTTCCTGATCCTTACATTTGGAAATTTTAGGTGACTTGAAAGGAACGAAGTTACATTTTATCCAAATGACAGTTTTTTTTTTTTTTTGTTAACGTTGATGGTCGAACAAGTTTTTTAAAAATGTTTTATAGCTATCGCGCGGAGATTCGAAAACTTGTAATATATGAACTATTATTATTATATATGATTGCATCTATTATTTAGGATCTTGGAATTTTTTGTTATATCGTAGACATTGTATTTATATTTTAAATATAACTGTATAAAATATGTACACAAATTATATTTAGATTAATAATATATATAATTGTTATGTATTAGTATGAAGATATTTGAAAAAATCATATTACACAATTGTAGTTGTATAGCCAATTATAATTACTACTATAACTAAATGCAAGTAATACATACAGAAACGTATATAACATAATTAACTATAATGATATATAGTATAAGTTGTGTACATATCATATACATGAACGTATACATGGTGAATTAAAAAGTAATATCTAAATATATTTAATTTTGTTCTTGATTTTGGTATTTAGTTGTTTTGTTTAAATGTCCTATATTACTTAATTTACGAACTTATAAATATCTCCTATCATGTTTCTATTTATAAATTTTGAATTATAAATTGCACATTTTTTAATTCGAGGTAGCAAACAGAAAGCAAAAATAATGTGATGTCTTTAAGAAATTTCTTATCTTCACAATATTTTTTTCTTTCTTAAACGCAAGCTCGTTTTATGTAAAAAAATGATTTATATCTTTATTTTAAAAATGCGTGTACTGCTGGTATCAAATCACAGTTACCAAAAGGATCGCACGTGTCGCAAGAGTGCAAGGATTTATTGATGTCCTTATTGAGACACGACCCTGATAAGAGGATAACGTTTGATGAATTTTTCGCTCATGATTTTCTCGATTTGACTCATGCGCCAACGAAGGAAAATTATGACAAGGCAGTAGAGTTAGTTCAGAAGGCTGTGAAAATGGATGCAGAGAAAAATTTGAAAGAAGCATTTTATTTGTATTGTGATGCTCTTAGATATTTTATTCCTATTCTTACAAGTAAGAAAATGTAATATAAACGACGCAAACACCTTATAAGCACAGGTGATACAATTCATAGACGATTAATTATATTTTAATTATGTGTTATTTTATTAGGTGAGACTGATTTCAAGCGAAAAGAAAGCTTAAGATTACGTATAAATGATTATATTAAAAGAGCAGAAGTATTGAAAGCATTGTGTATGGATAATTGTAATGATAAAGATAAATGTGTACCTGCGGAGGATAAAGGAAATTCTTCTATTCAGAAGATATCGTTCTTAAATGGCAGACTGTCGATTGTTTACGATGAACTACGTTTGTATCTAAACTTTTAAAATGCTACGATCTTTTTTATAAAAGATACAAGTAACACAATAGCTTCACTGTGATTCATCGGCTTATATAGAAATATTCATAAAATAATATTTCTTTTGCTGTTAAAAATTACCACTATTCATTACATTGGAGCATATACTAAAAAATAAAACAAGAATAAATTGAAATTTTTAATTATACCATAATTAAAATGTTTTGTATAAATATAAAGTTCATTAAAATTGATTAAAAAACCGTGCAAGGTAGCTGTAGGCCATTATATAATTCCAATTAGGAACGAGAAAGTTCCTGACATATTAGTTTACAATTTATTCATTATTCGTCGTTAGGGATATAAAAATGTTTCCATGGAATTCCAGTAAAACAAAAGAAAAAAAGAAGAAAGAAAAAGGAGAAATAATACGGCCAAGTATTAAGCCTGCTGACATGGAACGGAATCTTTACTCTTAACTTAACAGCAAAACATTCTTTTTTATACTTATTTGTATATTAATAGGCTGTAACAGTAACTGCTAATTTAACAATTATTCTCATTAGCAAGAGATATTATTTTATGATTACTTCTGGTGATTATGAAACAAAACGTTGAGCATCTTTAATAAGAAATAGGCTTTCGAGTTTAAGTAGTATGTACAAAAATTGTGAAATTATTACTTGTATGATTATCCTTTTTTAACTTATTTATCGCTAGGGATGCTTAGCAAAAGTACAACCAGTATGGCGGATGGGCTTGAAAAAGGAGATATCGCCGAACTGTACCTTGTAGAGGGAAATTATGCACTCGCGTTAGAAAAATTTCAGTCGTGTCTAGGGATTTTGATACCCCTGCTAGGAAAAGAACCAGCAGGAAGAAGGAGAGACTTATTACATAAACAGGTGATTAACTGCTATAATTAATACCACTTCACGCTGTGATCGATTTTCAAGTTCACTGTTGGAAGAAAAGTTCATACATATGTAAGTAAGTTAGCATGAAAACGTAAACAATTGGTTTATTTCATTTTGTACTTTGTTTTATGCAGGTATAAAATATACCTGGTTTGCGAAAGGGACAACGAAATAAAGGAAAAGTCGACTATTTTAATAGTTTACTTAGTGTAAACTATATGAAAACTTACTAGTTTTAGTAACTGTGTATTATTGTACTTACTAGTACAATAGTGCACATTTAATGTAACCACTATAAATGTAATATATAATTTCATTTTGCATTAACGAGATATAGGAAAAAATTTTTCAATTGATTAAAGATTTCTTTCTTCTTGCAAGAATATTTGACTTTGATATGCAATTACTTTATCTGGTGATGGCAGTTTCATTTACATCTTAGTCTACTTTCAAATTACATTAAAAGGGTTTTTAATCATTTTTAGTGGAATTTAACGATATCTGCTACATATTGCAAAAATAACCAGTGCAATTTATTGAAATAAATATAACTCAAGATTAAATGTATTTTATGGGAAATATTCTAAATTCTAAATTCCATTGGAATTTTTTTTAATTACAAATTGATCCTTTCATATTTCTATGCTTATGTTGTCACACATTTGTTTTATTATTTTACAACATATAAAGAAATACGATTATTTTATTTTTGATTAATTCCATTTCCTTTTAAATGTAAAATCGCAGATTATATATATTGTTAAATACCAGTTTGCAAGACGACAATTTATTACTTTAAATTATTTTGGTTTGGAACAGCATCGTATTAATTCTATCAATCTCGTTATCTTTTTATTTAATTTATTTAATATCTTTACGTAATAATTGTTATTGTTTGGTATATGTTGTGAAAATTTTCATTGTTGTGAAAATGAAAATAATTGTGAAAATATATGTTAAGTATAGTAGAACAAATCACTTATGATTGCCTTAATTTAATGCACTATTTGTCGACAATTATATATCACTTTCTACTAAATAACAAATGATCCAATACCATTTTGTTTCATAATATATGAATATAAATTATATAATTTTAATATCCGTTTAAGAACTTATATCTACTAAATGTTATCAAATAATTTATTCGATTTATAATTAAGTTATAATTTGCTTATGATAATCACGTTTTTCTTTCCTTCTTATTTAAGTCCATTGCAGATGTAAATTAAATTTTTTCAGATGTTTCTTTTTCGTAATAATTAACGATTGGATAATTTTAATATTGTGAAACAAATTTGATGCTATGTTACAATTAAATTTTACGATCAGTCGCAACAATTATTATGTATCTGTATTATGTTTATGTGCGCATATTTAATATATGATATTATACTTTTTGCATTTTATAACGTTATGCTAATTGACAGGTACAATTTTGGATGAAAGAAGCCGAAAGTACCAAAGGGCTTTTAGCTACTAAAGATATTGAAGACTCCGCGCAACGTAGTACTGATCCGTTCGAGCAATGCATAATGCAGTGATTCAGATTTTACACTTAATATAGAACGTTATTTTCACTGGTAGCACATAGCTAAATTTTTGCGAAACAAATACAAATGCTGTGTCATTCGTATCACATCATATTATGGAAAAATAAACAATTTTGCACTTAATTTTCCAATGCAAATGATATTTACTTGATAAATACAGTATTCCTCGGCTACATATTATCCATAATATTCTGTTGTAAATTAGAGCACTAATGTGTTGCCGTCGCTTTATTTATTAAAACCTTTTCTAAAAATGCACACGAAAGATATTGCATAGAGTAACTAGTTTTTCATTGAGATAGTAAGCAAAGAAGAAAAAAGGAAGCGGTGAAAGGAAAACATTTCGTTGCTAATTAAATTTTCGTTGATAAATCAATTCTTGTGTATATACGTACATAGTAGTCCTTATAATTTATTTATAAATACTAAGTATTGTACACATCTATTATGGATGACATTTATCGTAAACAATTTTAAAGCTGTTTCTTGTTAAAACTTCATTAAACTGTGAATATATATTTGAAGGCGTATTAAAATTAATTACCTTTTTTCTTCGTCGAAACACTCATTTTCAAACTTCTATCGATGCACCATTTTTTATTTTATCTATAAGTTGTTCACCTTTTCTACGTTATCCTTATTACGTTTTGTTTATACTATTTTCCATACGATACATAGTTACACTTTGTGACACGCTAATTCGTCCTTGACATTTGAAAGAAAATATAGTTGCGAGAGTTATTTACGAATAAAAAAGAAAAAATGTAAACAAAAAAAATGTACGTAAAATATAACGTGATGTTACTAATTAAAAAATAATCTCATTAACAAGAAAACTATTATTTTTCGGATGAAAACGCTAAAACTTAAAACGGAAAAAGAGGGCGCGCGCATCGTGGCGCGTCGCCCTTACGACTTCCGGTAAAACCACGTGACCTAGCTAACGGTCGCTGTTGCCCTGAAGCGTCATGGAAAATTCCCATTCCCGAGCAACAACCCTCTCCCCTTCCCTATATACATACCCCCTGCTCTCCCCCACCCGTGAGAGTCCCCACTATGGCGTTGTCAGGTACTTATGTACATCCCCCACTCCTTTGCAAAATTCTCTTCCCCCACCACCTGACCATTGGTACCGGATGTGCGGCAACGTCGCAACCGTTAAGTACATAAGGACGAGTGGAAGGGGGACGAAGGGGGTACGAGAAAGAACTGGCAACGTGTACCACATTCAAATCTGGACAGAACCCGGTCGGCCTCTCGGTTCACCTCCGCACAAAACAGCAGAAAACGCGGGCCGCGAGAGAATTGCGTGTATGTTTAGAACGGACAATCAACAACTGTTGTATGCGATTAGTTTAGGATTGTTTGTGCATATCGTCGTGTGCCTCCATTATCAAGTACAAGCGCGAAATAGATTTGCAACGCAAAGAGCATTTCGCGGCGCCCTCGTGCGACGACCCTTTCGCTTTTCCCCCGTAAGTGTGAATTTTGCGCGCGCGCACACACAGTTTAATGTAAATGTCACGGGAACGTAGGGGTAGCGTGACCGTGTGGCGGAAGTGTTGTTTCGTGTTGTGGAATTATGTGCATGGACATTCAGGTTAACGAGAAGAAGGAGAAGATGAGCGACAGGAGTGTCGACGAAGACGTACAAATCGTCGAAGCCCGAGTCAACAGAGGTAAGCTTTGAGGTTATGGGTGGCGGCGGCGGTCGCGGTAGCGGCGACAGCAGACTCGCGCGTATCGTTTCCCCCTCTCTCTTTCTTACACTCCGTCTCTTT